AAAAAACACATCATAATAAATGATGCAATTACATGCAATACTAATAATCAGCTAAAATGGGCAAAATCAGTGCAGGAAATAATAGGAAGTGAAATAAATGAATTTTGGAGTAGAGGTAAAAAAAATATACAACAAATAAGTAGCCAAAGAGAAAAAAATTATTTTGAATTATGGAAAAAACAAATAACCTCAAAAAAATCATCATCGATGAAAATAATAAATTAAGAACTTATTGTAAATTCAAAAATGACTTCAAAATGGAACAGTATTTAACACAAATTAAAAACCCCCACTATATAAAACGTATCTGTAAATTCAGGAAAAGTGACCATCGACTAATGATAGAAGGGTAGAAGGATAGAAGGGTAGGCATGTTGGACCCAAAATAAAGTTTGAAGAAAGGGTATGCAAAAAGAGTGATACGGATGCAGTGGAGAATGAATTCCATTTCCTGATCGATTGTCCAAGTCATAAAAAAGCAAGATGTAAGCTGTTTGGAAAAATTGCTTATATACATCCATATTTTAATTTGATGAAACCAGATGACAAGTTCATATACATTATGAGCAATGTAGATAAGGAACTTGCGAACTATATTAGAGAATGTGGTGCATTTTAAATATATATATCAATATTTTCATAATTTTAAATATGTATTTATTTAAACTACATATGTATTTCTTCCTTTTTTTATTTTTATTATTAGTTCAGCACTTGACTGTGTGTTCTCTTCAAACAGAATGATGTCAATAAAGTATTATTATTATTATTATTATTATTATTATTATTATTATTATTATAACATGAGCTTTTGTTTCTCCCGATTAAACATTATGTGAGTGCATTCTGGTAATTTTCTTGAACAATTTCAATTTATCCCCAAATATCATATCATATCATATGCATAGGGTAGTTTTTAAAGCCGAAAATAATACTATTAATGTTATAATACAATAAAATATATCGATCGTAATAGAACAAATACACTCATCATGTAAGTCATAGTCATTGTAGTAAAATAAATATTGGAAAAC